TTTCTTCTACACTCTGCCTGAAACGCATGAGTGAAGATGGACATAAGGATGTTTTTAGACCAAAAGTACGGCGACAGAACCCCAGCTTTGATGAGACTGGTGCTGACTCAGGTTTGTGAGTCTTATTTGAAAATATTTGTTGTGCTGCTGGTTTGCCTAAAGTTAGCTTACTATCAGGTAAAGTTGTTGGAGAAAGGGAATATTTACTATCATCTCACACTAAACACTAACAGGAACTAAACTCTGCCCTGAAAATGCTTAATATGTAGCTTCAGATTAAAAATTATGTGGTACAAGACATATATGATGTTGACTAGTGCGTGTCACGTGCGTGCGTGTGTTAAGCCCCGGATGTTCTTCAGTCCTTAATCCGCCCCTGCACTTAACCCACCTTTCCTGCTGGTGGTGGTCGGAGGGACCGGTAGACCACCACCGGCAGACCTCGCCTCTTGTCAGTGCGTCCCAGGACAGCTGTGGTTACATCGTAGCTCATCACCACCAGCATGTGAATGTCTGTGTGAATAGATGAATGACTGATTGTGTTGTGAAGCGCCTTGGGGGGTTGTAGAACCCGTAAGCTTGGTTTATGCTTGACGCGTTTACTTTCCGCTTGGTGATGCAGCTCGCGGCTGGAACGCGCTTCACAACTCGCAGCGTTTATGGTTCGTGCGGCTCGTCTCTGCTGTGAGCCAATATTCTCCCAAACTGAACGGGGCAGCATGGAGCTCTATGGCATGCATCCAACACTACACCATAGTAGAAGTAGAAATTACTGTTGTTTACAACATGGCATTCCAACATTTTTAACAGCGTCCTCGTCTTTTCTGACAGTGCAAGCTATTCCTCTCCAAGAATTATTAACATGTTGATCACGGTGATCTCTGAGAGCTGAATCATACAAATGTCTGTATTTACGAACCTCTGCCATACTAGTTCTTGCCAGTCCGCCATGTTTTTCCGTGTTTGACCGTCCGCGTGGTTAGAAAAGCTCCTAGGTGCGCGGTGCGGAAAGTTTGGGCCGTACGGAGGCGCGGTGGAGGGGCGTGGTTGTTAAAATGACGCAAGTTCTCCGCACAGAGCCATGCGAACCTTGCGGACGCGTCAAGCATAAACCAACCTTAAGAAGGCACTATACAAATACAGGCCATTTACCATTTTAACAGTCCATATTAGAGTTCCATGGGCGACCAGCACTACTACAGCCTTGCATGGAAGATAAGCGCCGCAACAGTGATTATTAGCTCCTAGCTTCAGCTTTGGAGGTTAGCTCAGTTTAGCTAGTAGCTGATAGCTCTGACCCTCAAAGCCCCACTGTAAGCACCGCCTCTTTAACCATTTTTGGTAAAGCATGCGTTTCTTTGTATTGTTTTAAGCTAGGTCTACAGCTGACCTCCCAGCTCTGTGACCCTTCCAGAGATAGGTGATGTTATGGGTTGAGTCCTGCAAGTTTTTAAGCAGCATTTGGTTTTAACAACTCTGTTGATAAAAAAATCTCTATTTTTTAATGAGTCCATCAGTGATCCAGTGCAACTTATGAACCTACAGCCATAGCAAATTGTGGGTAATCAGGCATTGTTTCGTTGGGAACCTTAAGTTGTCCTTATCTATATCATTATAGCAATTGAGCTGGTATGATTATAATGAGCTCCTGGAGTTTGTTGTTGTTGGGTGTGTGTGTGGGGGTGTGTGTGTGGGGATGGGGGTGTTTTGTAAAATATTTGTAATGAAATTGAAAGAGACCTCAGGAAGAATAGCTCCACACTATGGTGTGAGCTAATGAGGTTCTCAATAAATAAATAAATAAAATAAAAATAAATCTCCCTTGTACTTGGGAGTCAACTGCACAAAAAATGACAAAAGAGTAGAAATGCTCTAATATCATTTCAGCATTACTTTTAATGGAGTAAGGGATTTGAAAACATTTATATTTATTAATTCCCCCAACAATAGACCTCCTGTAAAAAAATTGATACATTGCATTAGCAACTCTTTATGTGAAGTTAAAACGTCATAATGTTTGTGTGGAGTGAAAAATTTTAAACATTAGTAATATTTTTGTTATTATTGTGTTCACACTGGTAGATCCACAATTACGGATCTGGTGTAGCTTCAGATCAGGAATGAGTCAATGCAGGAAAACTATTCATTTTAACACATAAATGCACACGTTATTCGTACACTTTGGATTTAAACAAGTTGTTCATTCAACAGGAGACGAATATGTGGGATTAATGCAATTCTACAGTTTTAAAAAGTTATTTCTGTCAGCCAGGGGAATAAACTTTATTCAGAGTGAAAGTGCAGAAAGTCTCGTCTTCGGCATGAGCCTTGAGTTCCAGCAAAGATAAGTGAGCTAGGAAAATCACTTATTATGGTTCCCTTATTCAGTAACAAGGTTGTTGCAGTTCCTTTCTGGATTAGAGACCAGATAGTTAACCTCTGGTCATTGTGATGGAAATACTTGGCCTTTTGGTACGTTTGTGGCAAGGTGGAGAAGCGAGGGCCCAGGCGGGATTCGATCCCCAGAATCCCGGGTGAGAGTTATGCTCGCTAACCAGTCAGCCAAAGGGACATCCCCTTGGCCAAGTAGTCAGGGCGCATGATCAACCGGGACACTGTGACAGGACGCTCACACTGTCACATCATTGCCACACGTTACACTTGTTTGTTTTACCTCCGATCCAGGAGACTGCTTTGGTTTTGATCTTAGACCTAAAATCGTGCCAGAAAAGATTTGAGATTCAATCAATTAAAGTGTTTACATAAAAGACAGCAGAATAATCAGAATCAGACTCAGATCTTCCTTGTTGTGAGTGATGCTGCTGAGCTGATGACTCCTCACCTGTCTCCTCTCACAGGGAGAAGATGATCTACAGTTTCTTTCTTTCTTTTTATCTTTTTTTCTATTTCCTTTTTTCGTTTTTTCGTTCTTTCTTTTTTTCTTTTTTCTTTTGTCGTTCTTTCTTTCTTTTTTCTTTCTTTCTTTTTCTTTTTTCTTTCTTGCTTTTTCTTTTTTCTTTCTTTTTTTCTTCTTTTTTTCTTCTTTTTTCTTTCTTTCTTTTTGCTTTTTTCTTTCTTTCTTTTTTCTTTCTTTTTTGATCTTTCTTTCTTTTCTTTATTGTTTTTTCTTTTTTCTTTCTTTTTTCTTTTTATCTTCTCTTTCTTTTTCTTTCTTTCTTTCTTTTTTCTTTCTTTCTTTTTTCTCTTTCTTTCTTTTTCTTCTTTTTTCTTTTTTCTTTCTTTTTTCTTTTTTCTTTCTTCCTTTCTTTTTTCTTTTTTTCTTTCTCTTTTTCTTTTTTCTTTCTTTCCTGTGAAAATAGCTGGGACTATTTGACAGTCCATTACTCTAGAGAGAAAAGTACCAGAGACATAAAATCCATCTAATCTACTAGCAGCACTAACTCTTCCACCTGACCTTTTGACCCATGTGTATTCCCTACTTGATGGATTCTTTAATCTCCACACATCCAATATGTCTGTTTTTGTTAGGATTTTTGACAAAAGAGTAGAATACTGAAGATGTGGTTCCTCCCCAGATCTATCTAAAGTAAAATCAGTACAACAGTTCCAGTCTCCGCCCAAAATGGTACATTCATCAGCAGTAATGCTACTCAACTCCTGGTTTCCAGTTTCCAGAACGTCTGACACAGGACCAGGGACATGGTTGCTACAAGAACCCTTGTTTGACAATGACTTCTTCTCTCGAGCTGGCATCTTAACTTCGTCTGCATTGAAAGTGGAGTTCACCGATGCTGGGATTGTAAAGTTTGGTCACCTACGGAAGATCCCAGCTGGAACCCTTGGTGAGCGGGTGGATGTGAGGTCCACCAGAGTGATGGAGAGAGTGGTGGAGGAGGTACGGAGGTCCTTGTCTGTGTCGCAGAGAGCCTTCATTGAGTCTTGTACTCTATCTGACCAATGGGATGATGACAGTGAGCATGTTTTTCCGTCTCTGGAGGTTAAAGCAGCTGGTGAGGGATGGCAGGAGGAGAGTGGATCACTGCTGAACCCGAACACTCCAGTGTTGGGCTCCTTCCCTTCTTGTGGGAAGAAACAGATCTATCAAACTTGTGTGACGGTTATCAATAGGCGCTCCTTATTAGGAGTCGAGGTGGACTCAGGTGTTTGCTGCGGACGATGCCCCTGGGGGCAGCTGGAGGAGTTTGTATAAGTCTCCAGTGGAAAAAAGGATGGCAGACCTCCAGTGGAGGATCATACATGGAGCTTTAGCTACGAACAGACACAGAGCCCGCTTTGATCCAAGCACCGGTGAGGGATGTCCCTTTTGTAACCAAACTGAGACCGTAGAGCATCTGGTGGTAGCATGTTCTAGGTTATCAGGGATGTTTAAGGTTTTAGAACGGTGGGTTAGTGCACTGGGGGAGGCTTTTAACCTACCCTTATTTGTTTTCAGGCCCAAGTACAGTGTCAGAAAAAATGGACAATATTGTTGATTAACTTTTTATTTGCATGTGCAAAACTAGCCATCTGGAAAACCAGGAAAAACCAGATGCTGGGACAGAGCTGGACTGATGCTGAGCGGAGCCTGAAGGGCCTGGTGGAAGCTCGCTTGAAGATCGGACACGCTTTTTATGAACTTTTTGGGAACCTGGACTTCTTTAGAGCGGTGTGGGGGATTGGGCGGTGCTCTGTCTGCTGGATGGGCAGGGCTCCCTAAAGATCAACTTCTAAACTGGTTTATCAGTTTTCCTGGTTTTATTAGTGGAAAACAAGTTACAGTCATTAACGCTGATTGTTGATTTGTAAAGAAAAATAAATAATTTAAGTCAAAGTCAAAAGTCTATCTATCTGTCTATCTGTCTGTCTGTCTGTCTGTCTCTCAGTTCACATTAATGAGTTATAATGCCGTTTTTCTCCTTAGTTGTTTGTGTGTTTAGGGGCATAAAGCTCTAATAAATAGTAAGTAAACTGTACTGCCGCCTTTTTCTGACCACATTCCAGATCGGTAGGTGGCGATAATGCACCTAAAGTTGTTTCCTAACCGTCTTAAAACCACAACGAAGTCCACAACACTGCGCATGCGCTACTGTCATTCTGCACCGGACCTTGAGAAGAAGCTGTTGGTACGTTCTGGTTGGATTTAAATGTAAATGTTTGGTTTTACAGACGATGTGAGTGTAACAAAAAGCTGCTTTAAACGTTAGTCTGAGGTTGGGACACAAGAAACCTCTCCGGTACCGTAGTAAGGCAGTCTACCAGCTGCAAACCCATCCGTCCTCAGCTTCGGACGCGTCTCATAATAAAATACTCCAGTAACATCTGTAGAACATTTCATAGCTAGTCTGGTGTTATGGTAAAGCTGCAGCAGCTGCTTGTTTTCTCCATGGACTGGATCTGTCCTCAGCTGAAGTCATTAATGTCATGTGTTGTTCTGAAGCAGCATCTTCATCAGCTCTCCTGCTTTGTTTCTATTGCAGCTGTTAGCTAAACATGCTAAATAACACCTGAGGATCGGTCAGCTGTGGCTGAGTCATCGTGTTTGCTCCATATGGATCTGGACAGGATGAATACAGGTAGTGTGTGTGTGTGTGTGTGTGTGTGTGTGTGTGTGTGTGTGTGTGTGTGTGTGTGTGTGTGTGTGTGTGTGGTTCCCTAGACATAGGGCTGGGGGTAAACGATTATTTTTAAAACGATTATTCTGACGATTATTTTATCGAATAGTCGACTATTCTAATGACTATTTAGAAAATTAATCTAACGATTATTTTTCTATTGCACAATTAACAAAAACCAGAAAATCTCAAATAAATTCCTCAAAAAAATTGATAAATTCTTACTGTAAGAGAATAAACACTACAGACCTTCCATTTTGTATAACACTGCTTTTATTGTGTTGGTTGGTTATGTTCTGGTGACGTGTAGAACTTGGGAGTGCAGGCTGCTGCCTGAGAGGTTGTAGACGATGGAGTGTCTCCATGCTGCTTTGTTTTGGTCACTTATGTGCGTGAGGCGAGTGGTCTTACGGGTTAAACCAAACTCAGGTGATATTTTACACTAAACCGAAAACCCACAACACTCTAAATGTAATAAAAGGGAGATCTACACCACAAAAAAGATGAACTCTAAACCAAAACGTAACAGCTTATCCCAACGCAAGAAGCTGTTAGCAAAGATGCTAACAGTAGCTTTACCAATGTTAAGTTCAAGTTACCAAGTTTAACTAAACCAAAAACACCCAGCAGCAAACTGACCAGCACAGAGGAGAGACTGCTACTACCAAAACAGCTCTCCTCATGTCTGAAAGAAGCTCCTTTATGAAGGGAGAAGCGCTCCCGGTGATGTTCTACATCTGCGGTAGAGACGGAGCTGCGCATCTGACCCCGGAAGTTGTTGTCCGTTGCCGGGAGACGAAGGCGGGCAAAACAGGAAAGGAATCTAGTAGTGGACGGACATTGTTCCGGGTCTTCGGTATTTGGCGGAGATGTTAGTGAAGGCGGAGAAGAGGGCGAACTAGAGGAAAAACAGGCAGATTCCTCCTTTATTTACAAACTCCTGGGGATGCAACAAGTGGGCGCGGTGCGTCGACTTCCGGATCTGACGTCGACAAATTTTTAGAATCGAGCCGTCGACTTCGTCGAGGCTTCGCTACAGCCCTACCTAGACAGGCCCTTAATAAACACAAAACAACTTGTTTCTAAATTGCTGTACGTTCATTTAGACAATTCTAACAAATCATACAACTAAATGTGCAAATTTCTTAAAAGCAAATAATTTTGGTAGGTTGGGCTACTTTCAAAGCAGCACTTGATGTTTTCCCAGTAACTCAGGCCTCTGTGAAATAGCTCTCCCACTGTCCTAATGGGTGTGACCCCGTGAGGAAAGTTGACCATTGAGCAGTGTTGATGGTTTATCCCTTGGGTCCACATGGCAGGGGTGAGGAGTGAGCACCGTCTCACCCCTGCCAGTTGGTTATCTTCTGATGACATATAAAACTTGGGAGTGCAGGCTGCTGCCTGAGAGGCAGTTGGAGATGGAGTGTCTCCATGCTGCTTTGTTTTGGTCACTTGTGTGCGTGAGGCAAGTGGTGTTGCGACGCTTCCTGGGGAGTTTGGCTCATGTGAAAAAAGGAAGGGACAATAACATGGGATTTAAAAGTTAAAATGATGATCAGGTTTATTTACAACTACAAAAAAATCATAAATCTTGCCTGTGGGGAATTAAAACAAAAGTACAAATAACTAGGTATGTCCCACTGGGCAAAAATTACTGGGTTCTGGACCAAAATAAGGATCTCCAAAGGTCCAAACTCTAAACTGGGTGGTTAAACCAAACTCATGGTGATATTTTAAACTAAACCGAAAACCCACAACACTCTAAATGTAATAAAAGGGAGATCTGCACCACAAAAAAGATGAACTCTAAACCAAAACGTAACAGCTTATCCAAATGCAAGAAGCTGTTAGCGAAAATGGTAACAGTAGCTTTACCAACGTTACGTTCAAGTTACCAAGTTTAAATAAACCAAAAATACCCAGCAGTAAACAGACCAGCAGGGAGAGACTGCTGCCACCAAAACAGCTCTCCTAATGTCTGAAAGAAGCTCCTTTATGAAGGGAGAAACGCTCCCGGTGATTTTCTACATCTGCCGTAGAGACGGAGCAGCGCATCTGACCCCGGAAGTTGTTATCCGTTGCCTGGAGACAAAAGCGGGCAAAACAGGAAAGGAATCTAGTAGCGGACGGACATTGTTCCGGGTCTTCGGTATTTGGTGGAGATGTTAGTGAAGGCGGAGAAGAGGGTGAACTAGAGGAAAAACAGGCAGATTCCTCCTTTATTTACAAACTCCTGGGGATGCAACAAGTGGGAGTGGTGCGTCGACTACCGGATCTGACGTCGACAAATTTTTAGAATCGAGCCGTCGACGTCATCAAGGCTTCGCTACAGCCCTAGCAGTTAGCATGACTACAAATTAGATATCGACATGTCGCATATATACATCACCACATAATCTCTTCTCCTCTAGTGTAGCTGCTACTTACCAAATGGTCAGATTTATGGTGGTTCTTTCCTCTTAAAGGAAGGATTTTAAGTTTGCTGAACTTAAAGCCATTTTCCCTCGGTTTTCTCCATGTCTGGTTCGATTATTTCACTTTCGTGATGCGCTTCTGTAGTCCTGGACTTATTTTCACACGTGCAGCGATCATTTCGGCGTCTGCTCTAATTTTTTTGGTGAGCCATTGTAATAGCTGTAAGTGTGTGGTCTCTCTAAGACAGCCGAAGTTGCTTTTGTTGATAATGTCACAGTATGCGCCGCTACCTGCCCGCGCTTGCTGAACGTGGGAGAAGCGTGCTGCTGATGGACTTAGACTGAACTTTCTCTCCCTAACTCCAGTAATTACGGGTTGTATGAACTCTGCTTGTTTCATATATGACTAGAATAGCAGCCGTTCAATCATGCATCATATGGTTGTTGAAGAGTGTGTGTTTATTAAAGGACAGACACTGTGGGTTTCCCCAGAACCGGAGTGGTTGCGAGTTATTCCATCCATCCATTTTCATCCGCTTATCCGGAGCTGGGTCGCGGGGCAGTAGCCTAAGGCGAGAAGCCCAGACTTCGCTCTCCCCAGCCACTTGAGCCAGCTCCCCCAGGGGAATCCCAAGGCGTTCCCTGGCCAGTCAAACTCTCAATGGGAACGAGCCTGACTTACTGCCGGCAATGCGGACCAAGCTCTGACACCGGTCATACAGGGACCTAACAGCCCGTATCAGAGGGCCTGGTACCCCATACTCCCGGAGTACCCCCCACAGGGCCCCCCAAGAGACGCGGTCAGACGCCTTCTCCAAATCCACAAAACACATGTAGACTGGTTGGACAAATTTCCACGCACCCTCCAGGATCCTCCTAAGGGTATAGAGCTGGTCCAGTGTTCCACGGCCAGGACGAAAACCACATTGCTCCTCCTGAATCTGAGGTTCAACAATCTGACGGACCCTCCTCTCCAGAACCCCTGAATAGACCTTACCAGGGAGGCTCAGGAGTGTGATCCCCCTGTAGTTGGAACACACCCTGCGATCCCCCTTTTTAAATATGGGGACCACCACCCCGGTCTGCCAGTCCAGTGGGACTGCCCCCGATGTCCACGCGATATTGCATAGCCGCATCAGCCAACACAGCCCCACAACATCCAGAGCCTTAAGGAACTCCGGGCGGATCTCATCCACCCCTGGAGCCTTGCCACAGAGGAGCTTTTTAACCACCTCAGTGACCTCAGCACCAGAGAACTGAGAGGCCAAACCCAAAGTCCCCAGACTCTGCTTCTTCACTGAAATACATGTCGGTGGGATTGAGGAGGTCTTCGAAGTATTCTGCCCACCGATACACAACATCCTGAGTAGAGGTCAGCAGCGCTCCGTCCCCACTATAGATAGTGTTGGTAGCGCACTGCTTTCACCCCAGAGGCGCCGGATGGTGGACCAGAATCTCCTCAAAGCCCTACGGAAGTCTTGTTCCATGGTCTCACCGAACTCCTCCCATGCCCGGGTTTTTGCCTTGACGAACACCCGAGCCACGTTCCGCTTGGATTGCCGGTACCCGTCAGCTGCCTCTGGAGTCCCACAGGCAAAAAAGGCCTGATAGGCATGTTTCTTCAGCTTGACAGCATGCCTAACCGCCTGTGTCCACCAGCGGGTTCGGGGGTTGCCACCACGACAGGCACCGACGATCCTGCGACCACAGCTCCGGTCGGCCACCTCAACAATGGAGGCACGGAACAGGGTCTATTCAGACCCAATGTCCCCCGCCTCCCCCGGAACATTTTGGAAGTTCTGTCGGAGGTGGGAATTGAAGCTCCTTCTGACAGGAGACTCTGCCAGACATTCCCAGCAAACCCTCGCGATACGTTTGGGCCTGCCTGGTCTGAGCGGCATCCTCCCCCACCATATGAGCCAACTCACCACCAGGTAGTGGTCAGTTGACAGCTCCGCCCCTCTCTTCACCCGAGTGCCCAAGACATGCGGCCGCAGGTCAGATGAAACAACAACAAAGTCGATCATCGAGCTGCAGCCTAAGGTATCCAGGTGCCAAGAGCACATATGGGCACCTTTATGTCTGAGCATGGTGTTGATTATGGACAATCCATGACTGGCACAGAAGTCCAATTACAAAATACCACTCAAATTCAGATCAGGGGGGCCATTCCTCCCAACCACACCTCTCCAGGTCTCACTGACGTTGCCCACGTGAGCGTTAAAGTCCCCCAGCAGAACGAGGGAGTCACTGGAAGGAGCGCTTTCCAGCACCCTCTCCAAGGTCTTCAAAAAGGGTGGGTAGCCTGAACTGTAGTTTGGTGCATAAGCACAGACCACATCCCCCCACACGTAGGCGGAGAGATACTACCCTCTCATTCACTGGGGTAAACCCCAACGTACAGGCACCAAGATGGGGGAGCAACTAGTATACCCACCCCTGCTCGGCGCCTCTCAGTGGGAGCAACTCCGGAGTGGTAGAAAGTCCAACCCCTCTCAAGGAAACTGGTTCCAGAGCCAGAGCCATGCATTGAGGTGAGTCCGACTATATCTAGTCAGAACCTCTCAACCTCACACACCAACTCAGGCTCCTTCCCCACCAGAGAGGTGACATTCCATGTGCCAAGAGCCAGCTTCTGTAGCCGAGGATCAGACCGCCAAGGCCCTGCCCTCGACTACCACCCGTCACACACTGCACCCGACCCCTTTGGCCCCTCCCGTGAGTGGTGAGCCCATGGGAAGGGGGACCCACGTTTCCTCTTCAGGCTGGGCCCGGCCGGGCTCCATGGGTGAAAGCCTGGCCACCAGGTGCTCGTCAGCGTGCCCCACCTCCAGGCCTGGCTCCAGAGGGGGGCCCCGGTGACCCACGTCCGGGCGAGGGAACACGGTTTCCATTTATATAATTCATCATAAGAGGTCTTCAGGCTGCTCTTTGTCTGATCCCTCACCTAGGACCTGTTTGCAATGGGTGGCCCTACCAGAGGCAGAAAGCCTCAGACAACTTGGCTCCTAGGATCATTGAGACACTCAAACCCCTCCACCATGGTAAGGTGGCAGCCCGAGTTATTCCCTGTCCGGTAAAGTGTTTCTACCGCTCCCTCTCGGCCATTGAACGCAGCCCAGATGTTACACCATGAGTGAGCCGCCTCAATTCTGGCAGGAAGTCAAACCCAAGACACTTAACCTGCTATGCCTGTTGGTGGTGGTCGTGGTCAGAGGGACTGGTATGACAATGATGATAAGACCATTTCATATTATGTCTTGCCTTGTTTCCAGCAGATGTTCAGTTGATGGTGCTGGTTAAAGAAGAAGCACCTGAAGAATGGAGTGCTGCTGTGGACCAGAAGGACCCAAATTACCTCGACATAAAGGAGGAAGAGGAAGAACTCTGGAAAAGTCTGAAGGGAGAGCAGCTCCATTTAAAGGAGGAGACTGATACTGCCAGGTTTCCATGTGCTGTAGCTTCTGTAAAGAGTGAGGGTGAAGATAAACCTCTGTTATCACAGCTTCATCAGCAGCAAACAGAAGACAGAGATGTTCCAACCAGCAGCTCGGCTGACCAGATGACAGCAGAAACTGGTGGAGGATCAGAAACTATCAGGAACCCAGATCTGAACCCTCATAAACATACATCTAATTCTTCAGAAGTGGAAGTTAGTGGAGATAATGAAGAGGATGTGGATTTAAATCTAGACTCTAGGCCTGAAACTGGAGGCAGAGACATGTACTGGAATGAGACCAGGGAGTTTGAGTCAGATGTTAAGACTGACAACAAATCCTTTAGCTGCTTTGAGTGTGGCAAACAATTTCTCCACAAGCGGTCTCTCCATAAACATTTGAGAGTCACAGGTCATGTTGATTCATGCAGAAAAGTTCAGACAGAACTAAAATTGTTTAATTGTGACAACTGTGGACAAAGATTTAGTAAGAAATCAAATTTAAACAGACACATGAGTGTCCACACGGGAGTGAAGCCCTTTGCCTGTGAGTTCTGGGGACAAAGTTTTAGACAAAAGACACATTTAAAAAGACACATGAGAGTCCACACAGGACAGAAACCTTTTCACTGTGAACTTTGTAAACAAAAGTTTAGTCGTAAGTCAAATTTAAAAGTTCACATGAGAGTCCACACAGGACAGAAACCTTATGCGTGTGAGTTCTGTGGACAAAGATTTAGTCAACAGTCAATTTTAAAAAGTCACACAAGAGTCCACACAGGGCAGAAGTCTTATGCTTGCGAGCTCTGTGGACAAAGATTAAGTCGTAAATCAAATTTGGAAGTTCACATGAGAGTCCACACAGGACAGAAGCCTTTTGCCTGTGAGTTTTGTGAAAAAAGATTTAGCCAAAAGACACATTTAAACAAACACATGAGAATCCACACAGGACAGAAGCCCTATGCTTGTGAGCTTTGTGGACAAATGTTTGGACAAAAGACAGATTTAAACAGACACATGGGAGTCCACACAGAACAGAAGCCTTACGCTTGTGAGCACTGTGACCGAAGATTTAAACAAAAGAGAGATTTAAACAGACACATAAGAGTCCACACAGGACAGAAGCCTTATGCTTGTGAGCTCTGTGGACAAAGATTTGGACAAATGTCAGATTTAAACAGACACATGAGAGTCCATACAGAACAGAAGCCTTATGCTTGTGAGCTCTGTGGACAAAGATTTCGACAAAAGACGCATGTAAACCAACACATGAGAGTCCACACAGGACAGAAGCCTTATGCTTGTGAGCTCTGTGGACAAAGATTTGGACAAAAGACAGATTTAAACAGACACATGAAAGTCCATACAGGACAGAAACCTTATGTATGTGAGCTTTGTGGACAAACATTTAGTCGTAAATCAAACTTAAACAGCCACATGAGTGTCCATACAGGACTAACAGTACTAATTTAACTACAAAAGTATGAAACTAGGATTGGGATAATATTACATGTAACTTCTACCGTATCATGTTTAGTAACTGTAATTCTGGTTCCATTTTGTGACACGTAATTCTCGTTTTGTAACACAACTTTTGTTTAGTAACACGTAACTTTTGGTACGTAACATGAATCTTTCGTTTTGTAACTTGAAGAAAAAGGGTCAATGTACAAGTTTCAACTCACAACTCTCAAAACACACATCTTACTTTACAGTTACAAAACCTAAGTCAACAAGTAAAAAACATGTTGTCCCAATTCTAGCTTCTTTCCCAAAGAACCAATGACGGGCTTTGTCTCACCAGCCAACCACGAGTAGGGTTGTCACGGTGTGAAAATTTAACCTCACGGTTATTGTCACCAAAATTACCACGGTTTTCGGTATTATCGCAGTATTTTTTTAAACGTGTTACATTTTCATACAACTAAGTAAAGCCTGTATATAGGGCTGCCCGATTATGGCAAAAATAATAATCACGATTATGGTGACTGAAATTGAGATCACGATTATTTAGGACGATTTTTCTATTTATGTTGATTTTATTTGTTTTTATTCAGTCATAAAATTGCTCAGGGCACAATCAGGACAAAAATAAATAAGAAACAAGATGATCACTAAAATAACTCCTGATTCCCTGTATAAAAAGACCAATATACTTATAGCTCATAGCTCATAGTCTATGACCCAAGGGCATAGACCTTGGTTTAACTCATTTAAGTCTAACCAGTACAGACCCAAATACCAATGTCTTGCAAATACTGACAGCAAGAATTATACAGTGGCATTTATAACAAATAAATGCAAATAAATTGATGTTCACAAAATGTTGCATAACATTTATTTAGTCGTGTCAAGGTGCTGTAGGAGAATACACTAGCACCGTGTCCTCAGAGAGATTGGTTATTATTTATCAGCATGAGGAACTTACTTCTATCTATTTCTACCTTATTTATAAACTATTTATTTACAGGTCCATCAGTTAATGTAATAATTGTCCCAACCACAGCTGCACCCCCAACCCGGGCTCACAGCAATCGGGCCAAGCTGCACGTATGTTTAGCACGCCGCACGCGCACATTTAGCCGTTTTTAGCGGCTCAGGAGTCCACAGGTGTGTGTGTCACTCACTCTGGTTAATCCAACAGGGAACCGGCTCCGAGAGCTGTTTCTTTAGCGACTGACACATCACTACATCATTCCCTTTCCTAATGTCCTGAAGAACGGTCCGGAGTGCAGGCGGAGTGTTTTGCTAACCTGCAGGAAATGTCGATGACAGTTATCCAGAAAGTAGCTAAGGGTTACCAGAGATGTTTCTGAGGTGTTCGCTAGGTACTTTTAAGATTTAAAAAGTCAAGAAGGGGGTCTGAAAAGCTACTAGAAATAGCGTCAAAGTCGCTAAGTTGGCAACACTGTGGGAGGAGCGCTTCATTTGCAACTCAGGGCAGCGCAAGTGGGAGGAGCAAATAATCGGCTTGTTTTGTTTTTTAAAATCGTTCAAAACTCAGATCGTAATCGTGATTAAAATTCGATTAATTGAGCAGCCCTACCTGTATATCAGGAAAATATTGTCCTCAGTTTGTGTCTAAATTTTGCCTAAAATGTGTTATTTTGTAATTTTGTTGTTTATTTGTTTATATTTTTTCCCTTTAGTCTTTAAAATGCCAATATTTGCCCATAACTTCTTATTTTTTGTCTGTTTGATGTCATCATTTAAAAATATTAGACCAGATGATACTCAGTACTCAAGTAGCCTTCTAATCAGTTACTTTTTTACCCTTACTTGAGTAATAAACCCTATATCAGGAAAATGTTGTCCTCGGTTTGTGTCCTTCCAGTGAGCTTTGCAGATGTGGGAAAATGTCATCAGGCAGTAATTGTTGTTAAATTCATAATTATTCTCGGAGAGAGACCAACTCTTATCTGTCCCTGGGTGCCCCGTAATGCATAGCGTCATTTCAACATGGGGGTGTACGCGACACGCTTTATATGCAGGTAGCGGCGCGGTAGCTGCATTCTCCCTCAACCCAAATCCTCGGATCACACATTTTAGCTAAAATGCTAACGTTAGCTTGCCTTGCGTTGACTGTAGAGTTGTGGGTGATGGTCACGCAGGTGTGTCATGAGATTTGAAGCGTTGATGCCTTTCACAGACACTTTTTCTGCACATGCTGCAAACAGGATAGCTGTCTTCTATCAACTGTCCCTCGGCATTCTACAAATTTCCAAAAAATGCCTGTACTTCCCACTTTGTCTTCTTTGAGGGATAAAAAATGTCCTCCTGAGCGCTGCCGTCTCCTCCTTTGGCCATTATTTCAGCTTTAGCTTCAAGAAAGTTTTGGTTGTAAACAACAAAGTGCGCATGTGCCGCCAGCAACTTCAACAGATACGGTGGCTGGTAAGGGTCACCGCACCTACACCGCAGCCACGGTAAACCTACCGAGATATATATTTTTTAAAACAAGACGGTTATTATTATTGTCAACTTTTTCACCGGGGTTTACTGCTACACCGGTTACCGTGACAACCCTAATCACGAGTCTTGGATTCCTATCCAATCATGGCAAGAGGGCAGAGGCCTGTTGTACTACTCACAACCAAACTTGCTTACATTTTTTCTCTTTACCAGTAAATCACAAACTATGATTTTTGGAACCTGATAATAGTCTAGACTAATCTTGTCCAGTTTTGAAATGTGTAGGTGTTGTAGTCTTTGCACATTTGCATTTTTTATATAATTTATAGAACACATTTTGTGTAAATAGGTCAAATGAAAATAAAACTGGGTATAAACAAAAAGGTGGCTATATCTTGATCGTGTCTGGACATGCAGGGAAGATCATTTTTTATTCTCTCATGAGACTTTGGCTCCCACGATGTGGATGGATCATCCTCTTGAGCTTTCTACATGGCTGTAAACTATTGTCTTCGGCATAACTTATTAGCTAAAACCTGTAAAATTGTACGTTACTGTCCTTTCATCTACTTGTGCGGCATACAGCACTGCATCTGTTAACCATGCTGATGATTTCATTTAGTTGCTATTTAGTGCACTTTACACAACTGTGGTCAACAGGGATTTGCCATCTTCTTGCTCTAGCCAGAAGCTGGGGGGTGGGGCTTGGGCCTGTGATGTCATATGTCAAGAGGTATATAGAACTTGGTCTTTATTCTTATAATGCCTAATGTGAGTGTAAATAGATTCTTTATTATACATTCATACTGGCCTGTAAGTGCACCAGGTCACTGCTAACATCTATCCTTCTCACCTTTTTCACCTTGACCTGTTTTCATGTCTGAATAAAATAAAGACCCAGTCGGTGCAAAGCTACACATTTCTTTGTCCCTCCTTGTCACTGCAGACCAGTTACAGCAGGATGTAGATGATTCAAGTGTTACACTTTTTTTTGAATGCCTGGTCAATAGACCTCATTTAGATAAAGTTCTACCACATTTGAACAGTGTGACTTATGTCAGTATTGACTTGTGTTTTTGGTTATTTCTGGGTATCCATGGGGTATTGAAAAGTCCTAAATGTTTTTAAATGGATTTAAAGAGCAAGTCACTCCCAAATCAACTTTATTTTTGCTGATAAACGATATAAATGAGTGTCTAATTGTGCTGCAGACACGTGTAGTCAATAATTTGGCACTTTAGTGCATCTTAGTTAAAATATAAATATTGTGCCTAAAACTGTCAGTGTTGCGCCGTCGTCTGGTAAAAACTACACTGCATTTGAATTTAAATCTGCCACTGCTATTGGCTAAGATGTACACCATGATGTTAGCTGGTACATTATGATGTCACAATGGCCTTGTTCGAGTTGAGCTGCGCCCCGCCCTGAAAACAGACGAGAGCGGACGGAAGCAGCAGGGGGCGTGGCATGGCTGAAAGTTGTTTAAGTCGGACAGATTTCTCTACATGTGTAGCTCGCGGGTGACGACGGATGGAGATATCGCGTTAGAGTTCATGCTTGTTTAATTATTTTAATCCTGGTGCCTGTTAGCAGCTGAAACACGTCCTCACGTGCTTGTGGATATCATATATTGAGACCTGACTGTAATAATAAGTAAAGGTTATCAGCTGTAGCTTTAGTGTGCTCATAGGAAATGTGACCGAAGAACACAAATCACATTCCTGTTTATGGCCCATATAGTTGTCATCTCCAACGTTACATGATTTACAGAATACATGTGACCAACTAACATTTTGCATTCAACCACTGGATGTTTGGATCAAAATGTGAACCAATCAGATCTTCGATCTGGTGAGAGCCAGGCGTTTCCCGTCATGCTCTAGGTTTTGCAGCCGGTGGAGAGCAACTGCAGCGCCTTGCTCCAAAATCTGCAGCCGCCTTGATCTCACGAGGTTATCGTTTCCTACGTATGCATGACGTCAGAGCAAGTCGGCGTCAAGTCGGACCGGCAAGCACTGCGCGCCGATCACCGGTGATCTAATCTGCGCAGAACTGGCTTATCTCGAACACGGCCATTGTCATTGTAAGCCTGTGTGTGTTTGTTGGCAGCTCCGCCCTCTTGGTCTGCCAGGCAACTGCATTTGTTGCATTTTTCAAACATGAAGTGGAAGGGGAATAAGACTCTGGTAGGGGGTGACTTGCTCTTGGAAAATTAAGACCCTTAAAAAGTATTCAATTATCAAATCAATGTAAAATCTTTAATTTGGTTATTGGTGTTTATAAAATAAGTTTGTATTAAAAAAAGATGTTTGAAAAATAATAAAATCCCACATGAATGGAGCTAGCCACAGAACCACCAACAGGAACCTCCTCAGTGATCAATTGCCTGTTTTTGTTCTAAAGCTCCGGTGACAGCTGAAGCACCTGCAGGACATGTGAATACACCCCAATGTGACCACCTCCACAGCAAAGACTTCAGCACCATCACCTGCCACATCCAACCTCGAAGCGGTGCTTGCGGGCACACCAACTGTTATGCTTTACCTTCTTCCGGGAGGGGATACCAGGGAGACAAGAAGGAACTTGTGTAAAGAAAACAGATTTATTAAAACATTAGAAGATAACACAAAACCAAGGCCTGGAAATCCTAACAGCAAAAAAAAAAACTAACACAGCCCATGAAACTGCTTCCAGAGAGTCCAGTGTTAGTACAAAATAAATCAAGAGGCTAACCCCGGCTTTCCACCGGAGCCGTCAGCAGCGCGAGTCGGCCGCGTCTCAGGAGCAGCATGTCGCGGCCTTTACGCGCCGGTTCTATTTTCTACGTGCGACGCCTCTGAAACGGGTCAAGTTCGACATTTTTGGGGAAGGAAAAACAGGAAATGGGACGCTGAAACGAAGCGAAGCTCCCGAGATTTTCAGAATAAAGAACGTACTGCCTTCCAGTTGCTTTACTTAAAAAAAAGTTACTAACTGTGCGGCCCCGTGAGAAGTTATCACCTAGCTAGCGGTCTTTGTTTTTCAGGTCCGTATTGGCGATTATAAAATGGACAGAACATAAAACACAATCATTTTGGAGCCATGTTGTAATTTTCTCCTGCTTGTTGTTGTGTTTACTGACGAAGTCACTCGTGTGACTTCGTGCTCTGTCGGTGACAGCTGCTCCCCTGCTGCTTCGCGTCTCGTAGGAAGGGCCAAGCAGCAGCTTACGCGAGCAAGACGTGCTGCTGCAGTAACGTGCTGCTGACGGCTCCTGTGGAAAGAAGGGGTAAAGCTCAGTTCTTTTAACTGACAGCAACAAAAGAATACCTATCAGACCTAACCCCGGGTTTCCAAGGAGCCACGATGTCTGCTCAAGATCATAACACCAGTATCTGCTGTTCCGTCCCAAGAAGGACACTTCAAACCACGATGATAATAATTAGATATTAATTAATAAACTCATTGTTTTCACTGTTTATTATAAATCATTACAACATGATCACTTGGTTCAGATATAAAGGCATTTTAATTACATGAAATGGATTATTATGCTTTGGGTATAATAATGATTAATTATAATGTTTATAAAGATGTGTTCAGCAAAGAAGACCTTCACCCTATTCAGCCAACACAGAGTTCAGATAAACAATAACTGCAGCACATGTTTTTGATGCATGACCAAGCTTTCTTCCGGAGAGAGTGGGAGGGGTTCTGAGAGTTTTGGTAAAATCTAACCGTCACAGATTCACGTCCAGTTCTTCAACCAACACCACGAGGAAAGGAGAACGGCCGTCTCCTAACCTCCACCTGCTGTTCTGTCACGCCGACAAGAATGGCTAAAGAACAAACGAACCGTAAACGAACTAACGAAAGACTCTCCCAGAGTCATTGATTTCTGAAGTTAAGTTAAGACGATAACGTGCATCTGCCAAACACTTCGTACAGCCGTGTACCCGGCTACCACTCTGGACCAGAGCATCGGACACTCGCGTCTTCCCTGCCAGCCCCGAGTGTCCTCTTGGATGAACCCATCCTTCCAATCTCCGGATCCACAAGAGGGTCAGCTGTTTGGGTGAGGTAGAACACGACAGATGACCTTTGATGCTTTCTCTCAAAATAACTCAGTTATCTGCAAAACATAGTTTTCACCCAGACCGCTTCCAAGCTCTCTGAAAGAAACCTTCTGGGAACTTCATTCACGCATCCAAAACTCTTCATTCCCAATTTAGTTCCATCCAACACAGGTTTGCTTTTAAACAAGTTCAATATCAAAGCTGTTAAGGATTGTCATCAAAATTGCCATCCATGAATTGTCATTTTTATAATTGTCGTTTCAAATTTTCATTTTAAAAAAATGTTAGTAAAAAACTTCTTCATTTTTAAACTTGCCTCATTATTGAAACGAAACACAGACAAGGGTTGCATTTCCAGTTTATCGAATGAAAAGAATCTTACTGAATCTTCTGTTTAATAAATAAACTTTTGCTATTAATTTAAGTATCTTAAATTCATTTTCACACCATTACAGATGTGTAGGAGACGGAGGGAGCTCCAAGTCCCAGAGATCCAGGACACAGGCACCCCAAGGAGACTGCAACCAGAAAGACCCCCGCCCCCCTCGAGAGGCACAGAGGATCGCCCCGGGGGGCCACAACCAGCAGCCAGCACAGTCCCGGGAGATATCCGCGGCAAGCCCACAGGCCCGTCCGCAGCCTCCCATCCCCTAGCCGGCCGAGCCCGGGACCCAGGGGCGACCACCCCTTCCGGGGACCCAGCAGAGCCCAGGGACACAGACCCCACCAGACAGCCACCGGGACTGATCAGACAGATGCCAAAAATCTCAAACCCCCTGACCCGGGAGCCACGAACATTCAGGCAGACCAAGACACTGCACTCCACACCAGATGTGGCAGGGAGAGGAGAGATGAAGATCTATATCATCAAAAGAAGTCCCAGGAGAAGAGAGGAGTCAAAGGCCCCACCTGACATATACAGTCATACACAAACACAGTCACACACTCCCTCCCTCATGCTCACACATACACATACAACCAAAGACTTACAAAAATGCACGCCGGACACCCACTCATACTCCCCATACACACCATATTCACTCTGGTCCCGGTACTGCTGCACATTGGGTACAACCATCACCGGTTCCCAGAGTTTGACCCTTTCTGCTGGGGTACTGATGAGCAGGCTCCCCCGCCCAGCGCTGAGGACAGCAACCCACCACCCCAGACCCCAACCAGACGGCCAGATCCCCCTCCTAGCCTCCAGCCCCAGGAAGCCAAGCTACAATAGAGGTGTGCTAAGACCCCTAGTCTCCCTCCGCCTGCTCCAATATAGTGTTAGTGTGTGTTGATGAGGTGTATTCCATGGCTGTGGTGAGCGGTCAGTGCGGGCATTGTCTGGCCTATGCCAGCTGATGCCACTGCACCAGCCCACTTGCACCCACAGCCCTCAGTGTCTAAGTGCAGTTTAAAATTTGGAAGTGGGCACCGGCACTTGGGATGAGGCTGAGAAATCCCCCTGCCAAGTGCCGTTGAATGTGCTCACTCCCAAGGCTCTAAGTGTGTGTTTGCGTGGAATGTCATTGGTGGAAGTGTTTAAGGTGCAAATAAAATTGGGGGGGCAGGTTGCCACAGGAATGCGGAAATGGGGCCCATACCCGCACTCCCTGACGTAAGAATTTTTCTTAACAAAATTGAAAGAAAAGCCTTTTTTCTGCCCGTCAGGACATGAACCTTGTGTGTTCACCAGAAGCGAGTGTTCCCTTTTTATAACAGCTGGACCTATGATGGTTTGTCTAATTAAAAAAACAAGACAATACAAAAAAGTCACAGTTTTCTAATGAAAACAAACAGGAAGATGCAACAGATCACACAAACATGAAAAACGAGCAAACATTTAAGATATTTTTTTTACCATAG